TCTCTCCTCTCTTTCGCTCCCTCTTCTCTCTCCTCTCTCACCCTCTCCCTTCTCTCTCTGTCTCTTCTCTTTCTCACCCTCTCCTTTCTTTCTCTCTCCTCTCTCACTCTCCCTCTTCTCTCTCTCTCCTACCCCCTCCCTCTCTCCTCTCTTCGCTCTTCTCTCCTCTCTGTCTTCGCTTCTCCTCTCTCCTCTCCACTCTCCCCTCTTTCTTCTCTCCCCTCTCCTCTCTCCTCCTCTCGCTCTTATCCTCTTTCTCTCCCCTCTCCTCTCCTCTCTCTCTTACCCTCTCTCCACTCTCTCCTCTCTCTCTCCTCCCTCTGTCTCCTCTCTCTCTCCTCTCCACTCTCTCTCTCCCTCTGTCTCCTCTCTCTCCTCTCTCTCTCTCTCTCTCTCCTCTCTCTCTCTCCTCTCTCTCCTCTCTCTCCTCCCTCTGTCTCCTCTCTCTCTCTCTCTCTCTCTCTCTCTCTCTCTCTCCTCTCTCTCTCTCTCTCTCCTCTCTCTGTCTCTCTCTCCTCCCTCTCTCTCCTCTCTCTCTCTCCCTCTCTCTCCCTCTCTCTCCTCTCTCTCTCTCTCTCTCTCTCCTCCCTCTCTCTCCTCCCTCTCTTCCGTGCATATAGAAGTCAGTTGCGTGTCAGGTTGTGTGTGTGCGTGATGCGTCCGTCTGATCGCGTGTCTCTCTCTCTAAATCTGACTCTGCAGCTTTTTTTTTTTTTTTTTTTTTTAACCTTCAGTCTGTTCAATCTTCTGGATTTTATTCAACCCAAACGCGTTAACAGACAGACAGACAGACAGACAGACAGACAGACAGGGGGCGCTCCTCTCTCCTCTCCTACACAACAAACTGTGGAATGATTCACAAAAACATGAGTTCAGTTTTGCTTCCCCAAAACCCGTAAACGTCTGTTTTTATTCACTTTTTATACTTCAGTTTTCAAATTCACACACGTTTGAGGAATCCTTAGTCTGTTAACATCTCCAAATCTTAAAATGCTCTGTTCCACCTTGTGATGTCATGAAGAGGTAGTTTTCAAGTTTCCATCTAGTCCTCTCTCTCTCTCCCCCTTTCCTCTCCCCTCCTTTTTCCTCACCTCTCCTCTCTCCTCTCCTCTCATCTCTCTCTTATCTTCACTCTCTCTCTCTTCTCATTCTCTTTCTCACTTTCTCCTCTCCCACTCTCTCCCTCGTCTCTCTCTCACCCACTCCCTCTCCTCTTTCTCTCTATCTGTCTCTCTCTCTCTCTTCTCTCTCTTACCCCTTCTCCTCTCTCTCTTACCCTCTCTTTTTCCTTTCCTCTCATCTCTCTCTTACCCTCACTCTCTCCTCTTTCCTCTTTCCTCTCTCTCTGCTCTTATCTTTCTCTCTCTCCTCTTTCACTCCTCTTTCCTCTCCTCACCTCTTTTCTCTCTCTCTCTCTTATCTCCTTCCTCTCCTCTTTCTGTCTCTCCCTCTCCCCCTCTCTTCTCTCTCTTACCCTTTCTCTCTTTCTACCTCTTGCTCCCTCGTCTCTCCCTCTTACCCCTTCTTTCTCTTTCCTCTCTAACTCTCCTCCTCCCTCCTTGCCTCTCCCTCTCTTCTCTCTCACCCTTTCTCTCTCTCCCTCTCTCTTCTCTCTCTCTTACCCCATCCCTGCTCCTTTCTCTCTTTCTACCTCCCTCTAACTCTTCTCTCCAACTTACTGCCTCTCTCCCTTCTCTCTCCCTCTCCTCCCCTCTCCCTCTTCTCTCTCTCACCCACTCCATCTCCTTTTTCTCTCGCTCCCTCTCTCTCCCTCTTTTCTCTCTCTTATCCCCACTCTCTACTTTTTCTTTTGCTCCCTCTCCCCCTCTCTTCTCTCTCATAATCTTTCTCTCTTTCTCTCTCCCTCTCTCTTCTCTCTCTCTTACCCCATGCTTGCTCCTTTCTCTCTTTTTACCTTTCTAACTCTTCTCTCCCTCTTACCCCCTCCCTCTCTCTCCTCCCCTCTCCCTCTTCTCTCTCTCTCTCTTACCCACACAGACAGAAACTGAAACATGAACTAAAACTGTATTTAGAAACAGGACCATTTACCCTTTTCGATGTCTTGTCTGTATGAGTATATGTTTAGGGAGTGGACGAGTATTACACTATGGACTTCTCTTCTCTTCCTCTCTCCTCCTCGTCTCCTCGTCTCCTTGTCTCTCCCTCCCGTGTATAAGTCTTAAAAATGAATGTGAGCATGCATTATTGAGTGACTCCTCTCCTGTGCTGTGTACGGGCTCAGATGGGCACTCACCACTGGCACTAATAGAAAAACAGTGGGGGACGGGCTCATTTCTCACTTAAACTAATCTCTCGTCTCCTCTATAGCCACTTTAAGCCCCGTGCGCTCGGCCCGTCTCCCGCACGCCCGTCGACGCACTCTACTTCCACTGTGTGTTTAGTTACACAGAAGTGAACACTGTCACGTGGGCTGATCACAGTACTGCGCCGATACTTTCTATTGGCATCACGCTGAGGGGGACGGCGTGTATGTCAATGGAGGGTGTACATAAAAAATAACAAATACAGCTTCTTTTAAGAGTCTGACACTGTAAGAAAAAATACAAAATCCATTGGAAGGTCCTACATTACGCAAAATGGGCTCTTGTGAGCTTTTAGTCATGTTAGAATGTTGTTACCTCCTCAAAAACATGTTGTGTTTTGTTTCATTTACACATGTTTGAGTAGTAGTAGTAGTAGTAGTAGTAGTAGTAGTAGTAGTAGTACTAGTAGTAGTAGTAGTAGTATTAGTCTGTCTCCCCAACTAAATTACACTTAGTATTTAATAAAAATACGACTATAAAAAATAAAATTTATAATATCAGTAATAATAATAATAATTTAATAATGCCCAACTTTAGATAAGTTTATAATCTTTTTTTCTTTTTTATTACTGTAAATAAAAAAGTGTTAGTATCACAAAAAAATCTTTAATTATATTTGGTATAAAAAAATAAAATTAATAATAATAATAATAATAATAATTTCACATTTGTAATATATATATATAATATCTGATTGAGTGTAATTATTATTTTTTTATTAATCAAAATACATAACAAAATACTGAATGTAATAATTAATTAAAAATATAACTGCCTTTAATAAAATATGTATTATTATTATTATTATTAGTAGTAGTAGTAGTAGTAATAGTAGTTGTCGTAGTATTGTTGTTGTTGTTGTTGTTGCTGCTGTTTTATTTGTATTTATTATTATTATTATTTTTATTATAATTTCTTTAAATACTAAATATAATTAAAGATTGTGTGTGATACTTACACATTTTTATTTATAGTAATTTAGTAAAAATAGTAAAAAATTACTATAAACTTATAAAGTTTAAGAGTTATGGTGCAGCACTTTATATTTATAGTAAAGCTTCTTTTTTTTTTTTTTTTTTTTTTTTTTTTTAATTGCTCCTTAATTGTTGAAGTTTAAAGTGTACATGTTCAAAGCTCAACATGCTCTGCTCCACCTTGTGATGTCATGATCACCTGTACTGGCGACTAAAGTCAAGAACTCACCGTATTACAACAAAAAGCTCAATTTGAACAATAGAGGGATTTAGAAATTAGAGAGAAGATCTGAAAAAGAGAGTGTGCATGAAAGAGGGAGGGAGAGGAGAGAAATAGAGAGAGAGATGGGAAGAGAAGAGAGGGAGGAGGTTTGTGTCAATGGATTGGAGCGCATCATTCACAGGATGCCATGAGCCGCTCCGGGCCCATTCATAATGTATCACAGCTCCACCTGGTGTCAGAAGAGGAAACTGCACTTTAAGAGGAGGCAGAATAACGACAGAAGGTTTTACTCTTAGACTTAGACAAACTTTATTGACGCACAAGGGAAATGATTTGGACACAGCAGCTCACACATCACAATATAATATAATAACAAAGAGAAAAAATATAAATAAAATAGAATAATAAGTATTACAATATAAAATCTGACGTGAAGTGTTAAAATTGACTCCCGCAGAATCAATTTTAAGTGTTTCTATGAGTTTCTATGAGTCCAATCTGTTCTAGAATCAATTTAATCATTTTGGAAATCTTAATTAAGTAAAACTGGACCGAAGTTCCTGTTTAACCCCGAAATCAACTAAACAACACACAGAGGAGTTTTTATTTTTACACATTATTTGAGTTAATTTGAGATGAAATTATGGTTCGAACCGGTCTACTCTCGCAGGAGTTTGAAGTGGGGGGTGGGAGATGCCAAATTAACACTAAGGGAAGTTGAATTAACACTAGTGGAATTTGAATTAGCACAGGGGAAAGTTAAAATAACACTGATGGAAGTTGACTAAATACTAGTAGAAGTTAAATTAACACTTGGAGAAGTTGAATTAACACTAAGGGAAACTGAATTAACACTAAGAGAAACTGAATTAACACAAGGAGAAGTTGAATGAACACTAGTTTAAGTTGAATGAACACTAGTTTAAGTTGAATGAACACTAGAGGAAGTTGAATTATCACTAAGGAAAGTTGAATGAACATGAATGAATGGGAAGCTGAATTAACTTCAACCATATCAACTCTGGCAAATAACCCCTCAAACTTAAACCCCCCTTTAACTTTCAAATAGTTAAAATAACACTTTTTTGTGTTAAAAACAACTCTGAAATATTTTACCCTGAAATTTTAACCCTCCAGTTTTTGCAGTGTTGGAAGAACAACAAGTGCAGCAAAGATATGGATGATATGACAATTTAAAAAAATAAAATGGAAAAAATGGAAAAAATGAAAAAAAAAAAATGTTTTTAGTTAGTTATTTCAGATAAAAGTTAGATCAAACCTTCTTAAAAAAAAAAAAAAAAAAAAAAAAAATCTTATAGGCTTTCAGTTATCTTCCTGAATGAGTTTTTTGTATGATAATTAGGAACAGGAAATTGTTTCTATTATACAAACATAAATATTTGCGTTTGTTCTTTTACTGAATGTATTTTTGAATATTTTCTAACCTTAAATATGTATGTTTGTGTTTTGTTTTTACAGGGAGGCTATGCAGCGTACAGATTTGCCCAGCCCACCACCACCGCCGCCTACAGTGACAGGTAAGACACTAAAACACTCACACTTCTTCATGCTGGCTGCACTGACACGGAGCAAAGGATCATGGGCAATGTAGTTTCCTCCTGTATGACTCCGGTGCTCACACGTTTTCCTTTAGCTCCTGGATGAACAGAGTGTGAGTTTTGTTGTTTTGGGTGGAGACGCTCTGACAGATGCAGCGTCAGTCTCTCTTTCTCTCCCTCCATCTTCATCCCTCTCTCCTCCTCCTCCTCCCTCCCTGTCCATCCCTCTCTGGAGTCAGTCTGATAGATGCTCTTTCCTCCCTCTTTATCCCTCGTCTTTTCCCTCTCTCTCTCTCTCTCTCCCTCCCTCCTTCTGTCTTCCTCTGCCCCTCTTTCATCTCTCTCTCCCTCTTCATCCCTCCCTCTGATAGATGCAGCCTCCCTCTCTCTCCTCTTCTCTCTTTGTCTATCCCTCTCTTTCTCCTCTCTTTCCCCCTCTTCATCCCTCCTTCTGATAGATGCAGCCTCAGTCTTTCTCTCTCCCTCCCTCGTTATCTCTCTCTCCTCCCTTCCTGTACCCCCTCTTCCTCATTCATGCTCTCCCTCTCTTTATATTCCTCTCTTTCTCGCCCTCCCTCTCCTCCTCTCTTTCTCTGCCCCTCTTTTTCTCCTCTCTCTCCTTTTCTCTCATTCTCTTTCCCTCTCTTTCTCCTCTCTCTCCCTCTTCATCCCTCCCTCTGATCGATGCAGCCTCAGTCTCTCTCTCCCTCCCTCCCTCCCTCCTCATCCCTCTCTTCTCCCTTTCTGTCACTCTCTTACTCCCTCCTTCTCTCTTTTTCTCTCCTCTTCATCCCTCCCTCTGATAGATGCGGCCTCAGTCTCTCTCTACCTCCCTCTTCATCCCTCTCTCTCACTCCCTCCCTCTCTCTCTTTCTCTCGTCTTCTCTTTCTCCTCTCTCTCTCCCTCTTCATCCCTCCCTCTGAGAGATGCAGCCTCACTCTCCTTCTTTCCTTCCCTCTTCATCCCTCTCTCCTCCCTTGCTGCCGCTCTCCCTTCCTCTACATTCCTCTCTTCTTCACCCTCCCTCTTTCTCTTTCTCTCTTTTCCTCCTCTCTCTCTCCTTCTTCATCCCTCGCTCTGATCGATGCAGCCTCGGTTCAGGTGTTTCGGCCAACCGCATCGCTCCTCTCTCTCCTCCTCTCTCTCCTCCACCCTCTCTCTCTTTCTCTCCCTCCCTCTCCGTCCCTCCCTCCTTCTCTCTAGTCTTTCTGATAGATGCAGTCTCAGTCCAGGTGTAGCGGGCGGAGTATTTATGACGGGACGACTGCATCACTCCTCTCTCTCCACGATTCATCCCTCACTCTCTCTCTTCTTCTTTTTCTGTGGCTGTCCATCTTTCTCTCTTCCTCCTTGTGTCCTCCCTATGTCTTCCCCTCCTCTCTTTCTCCGTCTCACCTCCTTGTATTCTCTCCTACCATAAAAAAAATGAAACAGTTTCTCTTTCCATCCCTCTCTTTCTCTCTCAATGAATGAAACCTCTCTCCTCCATTCGTCCCGCTCTCTCCATCCTTTAAAATTCTGAATGAACTCCCTCTCCTTCTCACTTTGTCTTTCTCCATCTCTCCTCCTTCTCTCCCTTGTACATCCCTCTTTTTAAAATAATCTTCTCTCATCCCATAAAATTATTAAAGTGTAAATTAGTTCCCTCTCTCCACCTCTCCTTCCTCTACTCCTCTTCTCTCCACCTCTCCTTTCTCTCCCCCGTCTTCTCCCCTCCTCTTCTCTCTCTCCTCCTCACCACTCTCCTTCATCTCGTCCTTTTGTATACTGTCCTCCATCTCCTCTCTCCTTTCCTCATCTCCTCTCTCCTTTCCACTTTCCTCCTCTTCTCCCCCCCTCCTCTCCTTTCTTCTCTCCCCCTCTTCCCCTCCTCTCTCCACCTCTCTTCTCTCACTCCTCCTCTTCGCTCCTCCTCACCACCCTCCTCCATCTCCTCCTCCTTTCCTCTTCTCCTCTCTCCTCCTTTCCTCTTCTCCTCCTCTCTGCTTCTCTTCTCTCCCCCTCCATCCTCTTCTTTTCTCTCTCTTCCTCTTCCTCACTGTCCTCCATCTCCTCCTTTCCTCTCTCCTTTCCCCCTCCTCCCCTCCTCTCTCCTTTCCACTCTCCCCTTCCTCCCCTCGTCCTCTTCTCCCCTCCTCTCTCTCCTCTTTTTCGCTCCTCCTCATCTCATCCCTTTCTATACTGTCCTCCATCTCCTCTTTCCTTTCTTCTCTCCCCCTCCTCCCCTCCTCTCTTCTCTCTCTCTCTCTCCTCCTCTTCTCTCCTCCTCACCACTCTCCTCCATCTCATCCCTTTCGATACTGTCCTCCATCTCCTCCTCCTTTCTGCTCTCCTTTCCTCTCTCCTCCTTAACTCTCTCTCCACCCTCCTCCCCTCCTCTCTCCCCTCTCTCCTTTTTTCGCTCCCCCTCTTCCCCTCTTCTTTCCGCCTCTCTTCTCTTGCTCCTCCTCTTCGCTTCTCCTCATCACTGTCCTCCATCTCATCCCTTTTTATACTGTCCTCCATATCCTCTCTCCTTTCTCTCCTTCTCTCCCACTCCTCCTCTTCTCCCCCCTTCTCTCCTCCTCACCACTCTCCTCCATCTCCTCCTTTCTATACTGTCCTCCGTCTCCTCCTCCTTTCCTTGTCTCCTTTCCTCTCTCCTCCAGTCTCCCCTCTTCTCTCTCCTCCTAACCACTCTCCTCCCTCTCCTCTTCTCCTCTCTGCTCTCTTCCACTCTCTCCCCCTCTCTCCTCCTCTTTTCTCACGCCTCCTCACCACTCTCCTCCATCTTATCCCTTTTGAATACTGTCCTCCATCTCCTCCTCCTTTCCTCTCCCCTCTCCTCCTTTCCTCCCCCCTTCTCCTCCTCCTCGTCGTCTCCTGCGTGTGTTTTTTGGGGTTGGAGTGTAATCTGCGGAGGATTGAGCGTGTCACTTGTGATAAGGTGCGCCCGCTGCCCCAGAGCTTCAGATCATATCGATAATACCAGATTTATCAGAGCAGCCCCGGCCTCCAATTACCAGCACAGCTCCACTGAAATTGGACAGCCACATTTTCCCTCCACCGGTGATTTAATTCTCTGTCTCGTGAACGGGCCGCGCTTCGTTTTATATTCCGAGATTTAACGTCATTTCACTTGTTGGTTTGGTTTTGCGTTTCTGTTGACTTCCTTTCCAATACCTGGACCTGGCTTCTGGAGATGACAAAAATATCGAAAATCAGATATGAATCGAGACAAAAACTAGTATCAAAACTAGAATCATCATACTGAAAAAGTCTGAAGGACCTACCTGCACCACTGAGGGAGTGCACACCTATAAGACCACATGGGAATATATACGATTTAATGCTCAAAATCACGTTCTATTGTCACTGGGGTATCCTGGTGTAGTAGTGGGAATAGTGGTAGTACACATAGTAGTAGTAAAATAATAATAGCTGTAGTGTGGTAGTAATTTAACTAGTAGTTCTAGTTATAGAGAGTAAAACTACTTAATGAAGTTGTAGTGGTAGTTGTTGTTTTTGTAGTAATAGTAGTAATAAAAGTAGTAATAGCAGTAGTAATAGTAGTAGTAATAGCAGCAGCAGCAGTAGTAGTAGTAGTAGTAGTAGTAGTAGTAGTAGTAGTAGTAGTAGTAGAAGTAGTAGTTGTTGTACTAGTAGTAGTAGTAGTAGTAGTAGTAGTAGAAGTAGTAGTTGTTGTACTAGTAGTAGTAGTCGTAGTAGTAGTAGTAGTAGTAGTAGTAGTACAAGCATAGCTTGTAGTAGTAGTTGTAGTAGTAGTAGTATTAGTAGTTGTACTAGTAGTAGTAGCAGTAGTAAGTAGTAGTACTAGTGGTGGTAGTAGTAGTTGTTGTTGTTGCAGTAGTTGTTTCAGTAGTTGTTGCAGTAGTATCAGCAGTAGTTGTTGCAGTAGTTGTTGCAGTAGTTGTTGCAGTAGTATCAGCAGTAGTATCAGCAGTAGTTGTTGCAGTAGTATCAGCAGCAGTATTAGTAATATTAGGTGCAGTACACAGTGTACCAAATGTAGTCAGTAAGTCTTCTCTTAATCTGCTGTAGGAAACAATCATTCAAAACTTCAAATAAAAAATCCCAAACTAATTATTTTTGGATACGAGGTCATTAACTCCAGATTAAACACTCATCAGAGTGAGATTATCATCTCTAATTGAGTTTATGTAAAACAAGTCTCATTCCATGATTACATTATGCCTCATTATTCTGATGGAGTTTTGACGAGAATTCAAACTTGTGAAAAATGCTGAGGGCGACACAAAGAATTAATACAAAAATCAACATTGTGTTACAGGCGGCCTTTGTTTGTGGCTCAAGTTACGGCAACACTTTACAAACGCAGCAGAAAGAAAAACTCACCTCAGAGTGAAACGTTTACATGGTCCATTTATTCTTCACTTACCTTCTGCATTCTGACCGTTCTAACTATTCACCACCATGAGTCTGTGAGCACTTTTTACTTTCAGAGGCCACTTTGAATATCTGACAATACAATTCTAAATATGTAGCATTTTATTGTGATGGTCTATGTACTTCCCTCTGTCTTTTTTAACTATTGCTGCACCATAACTCTTAATTTAAGCAAATAAACTTGTAATTTCATATATTGTGATGGCCCATGATATTATTGTGACAACTCTGATGATACAATATCACGATATTTCGGTTACTGTTACATCCCTGGCAAACATCACGGAAACTTACATCATACCAGAGTCCTGCACCGACAATTTGACCCCGGACCGTTTGCGCACATTTGTTTACGTTTTACAGAAATAAAACCTAAAACCACAAGACTAATTTGCATACACTATAAGCACTGAAAAAAAACAGCTCTCTCCTTGTGCCCCGATGCGGTCAGATTCTGTCGGATTAAAAGACACAACTCAGTGGAATATATGTGTTTTTTCTGTGACAGAGGATGTTCTGCTGATGGTGAGTCTGTTATGTGCTTCTATTGCGTTGGAGATGGTTCATGCTA